GCTATTGTTAGCATTGGATAGGCTGGTGTTAGCACTGAAGAGCATGCCTTCGCTGGCAGTAGCCTTAAGCCATTTCTCAATATGCTTACTTGTGCGTTGTCAGGTGCTCCTGAAACATCATCACCCTCAGCTACAGCACTGTTCCAATTCACAGGAACACAAGACCAAGAACAGACAAGATCCCTGGTTGTTGTTCTTGTTGTTTACCCAGCATGCATCAGAGCAGACTTGAGCGTTCTCCAACCTGACAGCTCATCTAGCATGCACTGTGGCACAACCACTTCCAGAGGAGAGCTCATTATTAATTAGTATTTTAAGTCTCTTTTTCTGGTGCTGTGTTTCTATAAAAGTACATTTAAAGATAATTTCAGATGAGAAAATTATCCTTTTTTTCTTCACTAAATGGCCCATTTACTGATTCATTGCGTGATTTAAAGAACATTTCTATCGTTGAGAGAACCGTGGCAACCAGTGAAGCTCAGAGGCTAACAGCATCCAGGGTATGTTTCTCTTCCAATAGACTCAGATTTGTTCTGCATGCTCCCATTCTCCCCGGGTCCATACTTTCCTATTTTCTTGTGAAGAACATACTTGGTGTGAACACAAGTAAATACTCGCATTCTTGTCAACTGAAAAACTGCCTTAATTTTCAAGACATTTTATAAGTGACACCAAACTGTAAGAAGGTAGAAGTATTATGAAAATGGTATGCAGAGTTTACCTGGCACGGTTCTATATTCTGCAACAGATAGGGCTTACATCGACTTTTACTGACCTGATGATGGCCATGGCGGTTCTCATTAGGGGGCGCTAGAGAGGCAGAGGTGGTTGTCATGGCAATAGTGGAGACAGTAGTCTGTAGGTCGCCGAATAGGCCCTGTTCACCAGAGTCCATTACCTGTAAACAGAGAAGAAAGGTTTTTCCCTCGATAAGGAAGAATTCCAGAGTAATTGATGCTGAATTACATCATTATAGATTCTGAACAACAAAAAGACAAGTTAAACAACATTATGACAAAAACGGTTTATAAATCACCTCCTCCTAAAAACAAAACTTCACGTAAGGAATTTAGCTTATTTTCTTTACTGTCTAAATGCTCCTGACAGCAGTGCATTGTTGGGTAATGAGGAGGATGGATGACTGGAATGTTTCACTATTTTCTAGATTTCCCCTCAAATTGAATCGGAGCAACTTGTTTTCATTCCTCGTCAAAGCTTCACAATCATGAATAACTGCAGACTTGAGCAGGTAAATATTTACGTACTAAGATCATCAAATTGCATACACTCCTTTTACATGTCTCAGCTGTGAATACTATAAATATCTGAGCTTTTAACAACATTCAGTGTTGAGATTTCAACATAAACATTCCCTCAGTGCAGAGGGAAGTATTTATTTGCTAATCAGGGCATCCATCACCTGAGGTGGGAACACATGGTAAGCATGTACACTACTGGCTCACTGGGATTCAGATTTTAATATATAACCTATGCTTAGCAGACATCTCAAAGGCTATCTGTCTATAAAAAGTACTGCCCCCCGGGAAAGAGGCTAACCAAAGCGTGGTTCATCCAAAGCTGCTGGAGGAACAGCTCTTTATTACTCAATATAACATTTTCCACTGTAATAGAAACATGTTAGAATAAAAACAGCAATATTAATGATAAAAACAATAATTTTCATCTACTGTTACCATATTAAAGGTATTTCAGGCTAAATAAATTATTGTATAAGCAAAATAATATATTCATAACACATTTAGACTGAAAACAGCTACAGATATTCAATCAGCACCTTTAGATATTTGTATCTTTACGGTGATAGTTTAACTCCTCCCCGCCAGTAAGTGTTGCGCTTGCATTCACCCTCTCCAGTTCCATATTTATGGTGGCCCACTGGAGTCAGCAAATGGCAAAATCCAAAAGCCACAAAGGAAGTGAAAATGAAAGGAAAGTTGTCCTGAAGCAGAAACCAGTTAGACCCAGTAAAGCTCTTTGCTATAGACTGTCATGGATGAAAGATGAGGGCCGTTGTAATTCTGTTGTGACGGCAAAATCAAAGCCCTGTGAACCAATTTGACACAATTGGCCAAAACTGGACACCGTGCTGGATACATTTGATACAGTTTAGAATGGCGGTATCTGCTGGATAGTATCAGAACTGCAGTTGAGCTTGTGTCGTATTATCTGTATTAGTGCATGGTTTGTTCCCTAATAATAGTATTAATAATGATAATATTAATAAATATAAACAACAAAACAAATGTCTGACCTATAAACTTGTAACATGACAAACAGCCCTTCAGATGCATAAAAGCTATGTGACAGTGTGTTCCTGCCACTATGCCTCCCAATTATGATGCGTCCTAGCTTCTCAACCACACATAGACCCGTTTGGCTGACTGGTAAACATCCATGACATGCCCCTGGCAGACTGTACAGTCAAATCCCACACTGTTGCATTCCTCGTTGCATGTATATATATTGGGTGTACATATATATATATTGGGGAGTGTCGGCCTAGTGGTTAGAGCAGTGCACTTGTGCTCTGACAAGGTTGCAAGTACCCGGTTGGATCCCCCACAGCCTGCACTCTGGGTTCCTGAGCAAAACACTCAACCCCTAATTGCCCCCTGGGCGCTACACAATGGCAACCCACTGCTCCCCAAGAGGATGGGTTAAAATGCAGGGAAGGAGTTTTCCCATTGTGGGACAATAAAGGGATTTAGTTAGCCTGGGTGCCAGTCCGAACTTAGTCCCGCCCACAAGGTTTGAGTTCGGGGAAGTTCGGTCTGGCTCTGCTCCATAGTAGCGCGAGTATTAAAGCCCACTGTCAGGCGATCCAATCAAATTGTCAGGGCGGGCTTTATACAATGATGGACAGATGATCAAGAGTAACGTTATCAACCACGTGACCAAAGCGCGCTTGGGTGACAACAATAATGGCTGCCGCTGGAGAGTTTGGGTGAGTAGATTCTGCTATTAGGTCTGTTCTAGAAGATATCGACAGTAAATTAATTTTAAAAGAAGAACAGAGAAACGCGATCAAGGCTCATCTTCTTATTCTAGGCGTGAAACTGCACGCTTTGATTTTTGTGGACAACAACTATACCTCGCTTAACATACGTCACGCACTCCGTTGCTCTTATTGGTTGTAGGTCTATCCAATTGAGTACAGAGGCATTTTTTTCCTGGTTCGTTCAAAACACGCCCCATAATCACAGCTCTATGGAGCAGCATCAGACTCATATTCTGACTAGAATTGAGTAGGACTACGTCAGGCTAGGATTTAGTGTCTGTATCTAGATTTGTGTGTGTGCAGAGGGATTTGTCTGTCTGTACGAGCATCTGCAAATGTGTAAAATAACTTGTGTGTAATTGATTTGCAAATGTATGAAAAATCCACAAATCTGTGTTCAGATATACAAATGTGTTTTAAGATTTGCAAATTTGTAAATCAGTCTGTAAACACACAGAGTCACTTAAGTCTGAAGTATTTTCGCTTCAACACCCAGAAATTCAGACAAATCATTGGTTAGAAGTCAAGCAGTTTATCGGTTGGTTCTCTTTACACATTTTTTGCTACACTTCTGCTGTGTGAGATCTGAAAATGCGTAGAGAGGATCCATATGGGTAATATCTGGATTTGCTACCCTGAGCGCAGGCTTGCAGGCTTATGCCGGCCGTTTATAACAAAATCAGCTTTCCTGACCATCCCTAATTACTTCTAAGATATCAATGAAAACGTTTTGCTTGGGAAAACAAAATGTTGAATATACCGAATGATACTTTAAGATATCTGAAATTATATTAGGACTAGTGAAAATAACAATTCAAGATAACTAACTCACCTTTTGGAGAGTTAAAATGACTTTTGAGATATCTTAAATGGCATCGCCTGGTTTATCATTTAAAGTTTCACACATGTGGAATTATAATCAAGATATCTCAAGGTTAGTTTTGACTAGCAAAAACACTATTTATTGATATCTGAATTACGAAATAGGCCCCCAGTTCTGTCACTGAACTGTCCAAACAGGTGCCTGCAGTATTTAGGGCGGCTGGCTTTTCTTGAAAACGTTGTTTCAAAATGCCACGATATAGAAATAACTCAGCAGTATTGGGTGTGCAGAAGACAAGAACTTTGTGAAAGGCTGCTTCAAAAATATGCAGTGAATTGCTGCAGGGAAGTTTGTTTGAAGCCGGATTATTAAAGCTCTGCTGAGTTAGCGGGACCTGTCTCACAGTCGATCTGATTCAGGAGCTCAGATGCCAGCTGGCCGCTCTTTGTTGCTCCTCTTGCTAACCTAATGCTAACAAAATATGTTTGCTAATGCTTACAGAACACCTTTGGGTAACCTAACGTAAACCAAACACCTCTTGCTAACCTAATGCTAACCAAATATGTTTGCTAATTCTAATAGAACACCTTTGGGTAACCTAATGTTAACCAAACACCTCTTGCTAACCTAGTGCTAACCAAATGTTTTTGCTAATGCTAACAGAACACCTTTGGGTAACCTAATGTTAACCAAACACCTCTTGCTAACCTAGTGCTAACCAAATGTTTTTGCTAATGCTCCGTACACCTTTGGGTAACCTTATTTAAACTAAACACCTCTTGCTAACCTAATGCTAACCAAATACGTTTGCTAATGCTAACAGAACACCTTTGGGTAACCTAATGTTAACCAAACACCT